CTTTCACTTAGCTAGCGAATGCAGCTAGCTAGTTTAGCCTATTCAAACACCCGGCTCAAACAGACAGGGATTCTATGTTAACTAGCTGGCTATGGCTATCCAACACTTTCAAGTCAAGGTAAGCTTTTGGTTTTATTAATGTATTGCCACCGGGGGCCCGCCGGTGTAACTGCTAAACTGCTTGCTTGACTGTATACTGTAATGGGTTTACTAATGCATTAGTTCTAGTAGCTATGTTGACTATGACGTTACTAATATGCTAATATGGTGACAACGATGTAGGCTTGGAAAGGTTTTTTCGCCTTCAGACAGCTGATGTTTTTGTGCACTGAAGTCCACAAGGGAAGGGAAAAGGTGATAGGAGGAGAGCACATAGATGCGAGAAGGAATTACACAACAAACTAAATGTTCCTGTTGTTTGTATGTGGCTGCTTTGAAAGTGAACTGTGTTTGAGTGTGATCAGGGGTGTATTCATTCCGCCAATTCTGTTTAAAAACGTTTCTTAAACGGAAGCAAACGGAACGAAACGGGGATAAACATACCGGAATTTGTCCAATAGAAACTCTTGTTTGCAACTGTTGGACTAATGAATACACCTTAGATACGCTAGATGCAGGCAAGAGTGTGCAAGGTGGTATTGAATGTGTCACTGTCTGTCACCTTAGGTGTGATTGCACCTTGAGTGCGCTCTGGCGTTGTCAGATTGTCCATTTGTAAATTCAGAGCGTTTTGCTCCCGGACCATTCAGAGCACACACTGGATGCTCTGGCCAAGGAATAGGGTTGATCCGAGCTAGCATTCTGACCTCACAACAGCAGTCAAGGACCCAAGTTAACTTACTGAAGTTGGCTAGCTTGCTAACTACTTCCAGACACAAATGAGAGAACAACTCACTCTGACCATTTTATTCACCCTAGCAGAGCTGGTTAGGCTGCTTTCATGTTATCTAGAGCGTTGACTGTAACTGTGCTGCTGGCAACAATGTAATTACGTATTTTTGCCGACGTTTACTGACACCCGTCACATTCAATGGTGTTGCATGTTATTCAATTAATCAGTTACCCCTTGATTACTCACATGTTTCTCTCGACCTGTGCATCTATACTGAACAAAAATATAAACGCAACATGCAACAATTTCAAAGATTTTACTGAGTTACAGTTCATATAAGGAAATCAGTCAATTTAAATAAATTCATTAGGCCATAATCTATGGATCTCACATGACTGGGAATACAGATATGCCTCCGTTGGTCACAGATACCTACAAAAAAAGTAGGGGTGTGGATCAGAAAACCAGTCAGGATCTGGTGTCACCACCCTTTGCCTCATGCAGCAATACACATCTCATTTGCATAGAGTTGATCAGGCTGTTGATTGTGGCTTGTGAAATGTTGTCCCACTCCTCTTCAACGGCTGTGCAAAGTTGCTGGATATTGGCGAGAACTGGAACACGCTGTCGTACACGTCGCTCCAGAGCATCCCAAACATGCTCAATGGGTGATATGTCTGGTGAGTATGCAGGCCATGGAATAACTGGGACATTTTCAGCTTCCAGGAATTGTGTACAGATCCTTGCAACATTTGCATTATCATGCTGAAACATGAGGTGATGGCAGCGGAAGAATGGCACAACAATGGGCCTCAGGATCTCGCATTCAAATTGCCATCGATAAAATGCAATTGTATTCATTGTCCGTAGCTTATGCCTGCCCATATGATAACCCCACCACCACCATGGGGCACTCTGTTCACAACGTTGACATCAGCAAACCGCTCGCCCACATGACGAACATTCAATTCTCTGGCAACAGCTCTGGTGGACAATCCTGCAGTCAGCATGCCAATTACAAGCACCCTCAAAACTTGAGACATCTGTGGCATTGTGTTGTGTGACAAAGCTGCACATTTTAGAGTGGCCTTTTATTGTCCCCAGCACAAAGTACACCTGTGTAATGATCATGCAGTTTAATCAGCTTTTTGATATGCCACACAGTTGGATGAATTATCTTGGCAAAGAAGAAATGCTCACTAACAGGGACATAAACAAATTTGAAATAAGGTTCTTGTGCGTATGGAAAACGTATGGGATCTTTTATTTCAGCTCATGAACATTGGGACCAACACTTTACATGTTACGTTAATATTTTTGTTCAGTGGCCATCCGAGTGGCACAGTGGTCTAAGGCACTGCATTGCAGTGCTAGAGGCGTCATTACAGTCCCGGGTTCGATCCCAGGCTGTGTCGCAGCCGGCCACGACTGGGAGACCCATGATGGTTTTAGCGACTGCACTTGAAGAAACGTTCAAAGTTCTTGAAATTTTCCGGATTGACTGACCTTCATGTCTTAAAGTAATGATGGACTGTCATTTCTCTTTGCTTATTTGAGCTGTTCTTGACATAATATGGACTTGGTCTTTTACCAAATAGGGCTATCTTCTGTATACCACCCCTACCTTGTCACAACACAACTGATTGGCTCAAACGCATTAAGAAGGAAATAAATTCCACAAATTAACTTTTAACAAGGCACACCTGTTAATTGAAATGCATTCCAGGTGGCTACCTCATGAAGCTGGTTGAGAGAATGCCAAGAGTGTGCAAAGCTGTCATCAAGGCAAAGGGTAGCTACTTTGCAGAATCTCAAATATAAAATATATTTTGATTTGTTTAACACTTTTTGGGTTACTTCATGATTCCATATGTGTTATTTCATAGTTTTGATGTCTTCACTATTATTCTACAATGTAGAAAATAGTACAAATAAAGAAAAACACTTGAATGAGTACGTGCGTCCAAACCTTTGGCTGGTACTGTATATATATATTTTTTGTTCAGTATACATTGTAAACTTTCATTCATAGGCTAGGTTGTAGCAACCTCATGATGGGTTTATGGAAAATTCTAGTATCATGTAGTAGCCTAAACCTATCGATGTTACATTGAGCTGGGTGAATGGAATATGAATGACAGTCATCCAATATGCTGTAATAGAAATAAGGCCATACTCATTTTTTAAAAATCGTCTTCCCTCATCTTAAACATCACCGACCGTACATTGAAAAAATCCAATAAGATCATACACTTCTGATCTTCATTCCCTCCCATACTGCTCACCAAGATCTCCACTACCACACAGAAGACCAATGTGGCCTGTTTCTCTCTCTCTCTCTCCCTCTCTATCTATCTGAATTTAACCACTCTCTTCCTCTAAAAAGGCCAGCTCTTTGGTGCCAGCCCAGAATACCTTTTAAACAGAGTGTTATAGGGAAGGACGAATGGACAGTCAATTATAAATACTCCATAACCTTTGGCTGTGAACTGGGCGTTTCATCCGCTCCCGTGGTGAAATGGTCCTGGGCAGCCGCCCTGGCTAATTGTTAAAAATGTTTGTGTCAATCACGCCTATCCCAAATGGCAAGTCTCTCTCTCTCTCTCTCTCTCTCTCTCTCTCTCTCTCTCTCTCTCTCTCTCTCTCTCTCTCTCTCTCTCTCTCTCTCTCTCTCTCTCTCTCTCTCTCTCTCTCTCTCTCTCTCTCTCTCTCTCAATGAGATGGCCTCAGATACATAATTACTCCCTGCAACAGAGAATAACATGTTTGTTTAATGTTAATGTGTTTAATCTTCCTGACAATGACAGAACTAGAGAAGAAAAGGTACTAGAGTTTACATAGGCATTATGGTGAAAGACAAAGAGAGACTGTTATGCCTACATCTGTGACATTGGTGTTACTATTGCATGAATCAAGGAGAGTGCAATTACTTTATGTAAGCATTGTGCAAATGTCAGACCTGATGCAAGTCATTCAATGGAGCACAATGAGAAAGTGGAGTACATCAGTATAAAACACACACTCCAGTGGGTTTCTTATAACACTCTATTTAGTGGACGTATCTGAATCAATCTCCTACTCTATGAACCGACCACTCAGTGGCATGGTTTGCTGCATAAAGTCAGGTCCGGTGAATAACAAAACAGAGTTTAACCTTGAAGACTGAAATTCAGGGGTGGCATACTGAACACTGAAATGACTATTAGGCTCAATGAAGAATGTGACTGTTCACTGGTAACAAACCTGAAACAAACATGTACTTGTTGTCTGAATGTCTCTTACTATTCAGGGGGAAAACCTTGCTATTGATGAGGATATGTCATGCTAGTCCATTTGGAATGATGAGGACTTTGAGACGGCCATCAGCTACTATTGCATTCCCTCCAGGTTCCTCAGAGGGGTTGAGTTATCAATAAACCAACCAAGATCTATCCTCTCGCCTCTCGCCTCTGAAGTGCATTTTCAAAGGCTGCAGAAACCCTTCTGAAGCACCGTTCAAGCAATCTGAAGATGTTAAACTGGATGTGATGACATTAATGAAGGATAATTTTTCAAGCATGTCTCATTCCAATAAGCCCAGAGTGAGTTTAGATTCAGAGTGGTTCCACTTGGCTGAGGAGAAACATTTTCTGAATTTAAACGTAACCAATTCTTCAACCAAGCCTCCGCTCACATGAAGCGTTAAATTCAACTCAAAGCAGCTGCAAAGAGATTTACATTTTCAGTATAGGGCTTTAAAGCCATAGGGTTGACTGAATATTTGCATTAAGGATTTTCCCTCCCATCTGAGAAACATATTTCTAACATCTTTCTGTTGACGCCTTTGGGTATTGTATTTTAAGCTGTAACCCTTAGGCTACAAAACATAAGGAAACTTAATCGTGAGCCATTCCAAAGACGGGAATATAGACTTAATAAATCATTTCAACAGGACTTTCCAAGTGAGCCGGCACTGTACCTAATATTGGATTTGTAATTACTGGTAATGTGTTCCATCATACCAGTCTTTCCTTTCCAATCCCACTTGCTTTAGCTGAATAGGCACATTAACAACCTCAACTTCTAATGGCATTTCTAACTACTTTTTTTGTGTGATTATGATTTTGTACCTTCATTTTGTAATTTCTCAAAAGTAAATGTGTCCATCAAAAGAATGTGGATGTATTTAATAAGCAGAATTAATCAGTGTTGTTGTACTCACGCGCATGCCAAGCTCAATGTTCTCGCCCCCATAGACTTCCATGCCAGGATCAAGGAGGCCAATCTGGCCAAAGTATTCTCTGTCCACCACAAAGGAGCAGCCGATCATAGCTGGTGTCCTAGATGAAAAGAGAGAGATGGAGAGAGGCTTTTAAAAACTGCGTTCTTGATCAGCTTCAGTGACTAACCTTTAGTGCACCCACAGTGCACTCTGTTGAGGAGACCCTTTACTAAAACAACAGGATTCATAATAATGTTAATAATCACTGCACACAAGGCAGTTTGCACCTTGGGCTACACTGCAGGCCGATACACTATTTACTTGACTTGATTTAATTTCAAAATCTATGCATGATTAACCTTGGAAAACCCCTGAGTAACAATGCATTTTACATGTGTTGCTATTAAGAGAAAAAAACAGAACACCATTGTTCTCTCTTAATTGTACATCTGCATGTGAGGTACAAGTGCACCCATACATTAATGTGTTTTGATAAATCTACATTCTGTGAAAATAACACAGGCTCAGGGTTTAGTATATCTTTAGATATGCATTTTTCCATGAGTGTCTGTGTTAAAACATCAAGAGGACCAACTTCCAGAGACATCTCCATAATACAATAGAACTGAGTCTATAAATCTGTTCAAGGAACATTGCTTTAGGGACGTTTGAAAGTGGTATGAGGGGGAAGCTATGATGGGGACAAGGTCCTCTAGTAAATATAGACTGTCAGACACACACACACACACACACACACAAACCTCCATGAGAGAGCCGCCTGTGCTGGCCTGAGGAGGATAGGATGGGCCACTCTCCTCTCCTCTCCACTCCAGCCTGCTCTCTCTAGGTCTCTAAAGTCGTTTTTATTTCCGGGCCACTGTCACCCTAGGCTTGCTTTTACTGGCTTTAGCCATTGCATTTAGTGCTCTGTGACATAGACTTCATAAAAATGTTATATAAAAAATATAGCAGTCCATGATGTGCGATGGCAAACAGAGTCAAAAGGCTTATTTTCAATCTGATCAGTGGGTGGCTGTAGTCTACTGCAGCATGGTGCCTGTAGCTAGTACACCATACATTAACATGCAGTGGAGAATGCCGTTCTGTACGGCTGGCCATACTGTATGTTAGTGGGAGGAGGTTATTAGAGAGGAAGGATGAAGAGGGAACTCTTTAATGATTAATAGACACTGTATTAATATTCAAAAGAAGGTTGTTTAAGGATATCAAGGATGCTGTGCAACTTTATATTTGTAGGCGATAATTGCAGTAGTTTCTTTTTCAAAAAATAATCTGCATGGAGTGTGCTTTATGAAATTATTATGTGGGGTAAGGAAGAAAGATACACACACACACACACACACACACACACACACACACACACACACACATACACGCACACAATAACACAAACCAACATCTGCACAATCACTGCTCTATAGATATCTTGCAAAAAGCTCCCTTTTTCAATGAGCAAACTGCTTACACACTCTCATCCTCTGTCTGGTTTCCACCTCCTTTTCTTATGTTATGATGTTTGCAGTCAGTCAAAGTTTATAAAAGAGAAGTTTTTGCTTTTACAGTGCCTTTTACCACATTTTGTCGTGTTACAACCTGAATTTAAAATGGATTACATTGAGATTGTGTGTCACTGGCCTACACACAATACCCCATAATATCAAAGTGGAATTATGTTTTTAGAAAATTTAACAAATTAATAACACATGAAAAGCTGAAATGTCTTGAGTCAATAAGTATTCAACCCCTTTGTTATGGCAAGCCTAAATAATTTCAGGAGTAAAAATGTGCTTAACAAGTCACATAATAAGTTTTACGGACTCACTTTGTGTGCAATAATAGTGTTTAACATGATTTTTGAATGACTACCTCATCTCTGTACCCCACACATACAATTATCTGTAAGGTCCCTCAGTCAAGCAGTGAATGTCAAACACAGATTCCACCACCAAGACCAAGAAGGTTTTCCAATGCCTCGCAAAGAAGGGCACCTATTGAAAAAAGCAAACACTGAGTATCCCTTTGAGCATGATGAAGTTATTAATTACACTTTGGATGGCGTATCAATACACCCAGTCACTACAAAGATACAGCCGTCCTTCCTAACTCAGGTACTGGAGAGGAAGGAAACCGCTCAGGGATTTCACCAATGGTGACTTTAAAACAGTTACAGACTTTAATGACTGTGACAGGAGAAAACTGAGGATGGATCAACAACACTGTAGTTACTCCACAATACTAACCTAAATGACAGAGGGAAAAGAAGAAAGCCTCTACAGAATAAAAAATATTCCAAAACATGCATCCTGTTTGCAATAAGGCACTAAAGTAAAACTTCAAAGAATGTGGCAAAGAAATGAACTTCATGTCCTTCATACAAAGCGTTATGTTTGGGGCAAATCCAACACAACGCATCACTGAGTACCACTCTTCATATTTTCAACATGCCATCATGTTATGGGTATGCTTGTCATCAACAAGGACTAAGGAGTTTTTTTTAGGATATAAAGAAACGGAATAGAGCTAAGCACAGGCAAAATCCTATAGGAAAACCTGGTTCAGTCTGCTTTCCGACAGACACTGGGAGATAAATTCACCTTTCAGCAGGACATTGACTTAAAACACAAGGCCAAATATACACTGGAGTTGCTTTCCAAGACGACATTGAATGTTTTGAGTGGCCTAGTTACCGTTTTGACCTAAATTGGCTTGAAATCTATGGCAAGATTTGAAAATGGCTGTCTAGCAATGATCAAAAACCAACTTGGCAGACCTTGAAGTATTTAAAAAAGAATAATGTGAAAATATTGCACAATACAGCTGTGCAAAGCTCTTAGAGACGTACCCAGAAATACTCACAGCTGTAATCACTGCCAAAGGTGATTCTAACATTGACTCAGGGGTGTGAATACGTATGTAAACAAGATATTTCTGTATTTCATTTTCGATACATTTGCAAACATTTTAAAAACATGTTTTCACTTTGTCATTATGGGGTATTGTGAGTAAATAGGTGAGAAGAAAACATAATTTAATCCATTTTGAATTCAGGCTGTAACACAATGGAATAAGTCAAGGGGCATGAATACTTTCTGAAGGCACTGTTGTGGATATGCATTTTTGGATGCCCAAACACCTGAGTGCGAAGGCAATCGGTCTCAGCTCTGAATAGCCATAGGCCTACACTACGTCTATTGTTGATGGACAGAGGGCTTTAGGAAACAAGTACAGGAATGATTTCCAATAGGGATCCACACAGCCAACACACTCCACCTGCCTCTTGAGGCTTGGAGTGTCAATAACAGGACTGCAAATAGCACCTGCAATGTTTGCAGTCATTCCACTGCTGTTTTTGACAAAATGTCTACATCTCATGAACTACATAAAAGATCTTACAACAGAAACAATTGGGTTACTGTAGTCCATATGAAAAGGAATCCCAATAACTCCTCTTACAATATTTAATAAGAAAAGTTGAGTTTTTCATGCTTGTTCTGCTGTATGTTTGTTTAATCTGTCTCAGGAGCAACAGTAACACCACTTAACAGAGCCCTGCTTAACATTATTTCCAACGCTTAACATTTCTGTCTCTAACTGGCTAAGCATGGTTCGGTTGTAATTTAAATAGTAATAAGCAAAGTAGCATAGCCATGATGTCAGAACAGTCTCATATTGTCTCTTCTGTCTCTGTTGGTTGGCTCCTGACATTGTGTTAAATTACAATCATAAGCTAAATTATGCTTGAATGCCTCAACCAGAAGACAAATGGCCATAGCACATGGTTCAGAAGTCACCTCCAGTGTTCAGACACATCATTAGGGGCTATATGAATAATTAATTAAATCTATTTTATGACCTGATTTGTGTGTTGCCATGACCTTGACCCAGCCAAACACGTCCGGAGAAATATATGACTATTTCTGTGTGATTTAGGAAATATGATATAATACTAATGCTGAACATATAAAAAATATATAAAACATGATTTACCTGAGGCCCCTAGGTGAATATTTACTGTAATAATAATCCATTCTATGATTACAGTGACAACATTTCTTCCATACAATACAGCACCAATGAACAAAGTTGTGTAGACTAAAGTCAAGTCCATTGCTCACTGTATGCAGTTACACTACTGACCCAATATCAAGGTTTCCTCATCAAAATGTTTGTTTGTTTGAGGTTGACTCTGTTAGTTGTTTGGCCTGTACACTTGGACCGAAGACCCATACAGCCATATAGTTGATGGCTCTAAACATGAATAAGTCATATATGGGACCTAGCTATCCATATTTCATCAAACATCCTCATCTATAATGGAGGGGGTGCTCAGCTATGGTGAGGTGTGTTACCTGATGGGGGCTGTCTCGTCACCCTTGTCCAGCCACTCCTGAGGGGGGATGATGTACATGCACCACAGGCCCCAGTTGTAGCCGTGGGCCGCGTTGGCGTACTGTTGCACCTCGAACGTGTTGAACTTGATGTTGTCGATGGCGGGGAGGATGATCCGGGTATGGTCCTCCTTCACTCTGGTCAAGATAGGCTCCGCCCTTTGATATGAGAAGAGACAGACATCAGGGTTGAGCTACTGTACTGTGACACTGTACAACATCCCTTTAAAACACTACAGAAATAAATGTAATACATATGGCCAGCAATAAAAAAGCAGTGTTGGCTCCCTCGATATCTTTATTTCTCATGAACAGGGTTGCCAGGGATTCTCAATAAAAGCCTTTTTCCAAAAGCCTGCCAAAGTCTTCAACAGTGGCTTACTCTAGGGTGTTTTGCTTGACACGTTCTGTGTCAGAGTACATCAAACTGTGTGCAGCAGCCTTGGTGTTGGTGTCCCCTAGTCATTGAAGTGGCTGGCTACAGAGTATGTGTTTGTTCCCTTCATTTCCTACTCCCTTGGCCTATGGCATGCATGCTGATACCCTTGGGTAGATGGTAGGGGAATAAAGGTCGCTGTCAATTAATTTGCCATGCTGTTAGCCCTGGCTATACATGTTACTTTGATCATCTGTCTAATGTTAGGAGGTCTGCTTCAGTACAGCTTAAGAGCAACTACCCATACCTAGAAGCTGCATTTCTCTTGATTTTCAATCTGACAGGCTGCAATTATGATCCATAATTACCGTAACTCTTAAGAATATCCTCTCCCTCTTCTCTCTCCATTCTCAGCCTCTATCGCTCTCACCATATTTTCTCTCTCAATCCCATTCTCTCTCTATTTCTTTAAAACCAAGCCCATTTATCTTCCAAAAGCAGAAGTATTCCTTATCGCATCAAGGTAGTGTAAAGAGTGCAGGGGAGTGGATCCAAATGGAGCTATAAGTGGGTTTGCAGTAAAAATGACTGACAGAAGCACTACTAAGTAAAAGCAATCATTTAATAAGAGCAGAGGGATTGGTAAAAGCTTCCCATCTCAAAGATTGGCATATGAGAGACATGGGCCTCTACTTACTTTAAGGTATAATGGAAAGGATAAAAGTCTGCGTGGGAGAGGGGTTGACCTCCCCATCTGCTGTTGGAAAGTTGGTTTGTATCCAGGTAAAGAAAGGTGTTGATGAGCCAAATTGTCTGACAAACATGATTTACCGTTTGTGTTTTGAACAGTCAAACTTGAATGATGAAGTAATAAAATGTAATAACTGAAGGGTGATAACAAATATTGCAATGCTAACTTATTGTCACTGAACACTTGAATTGTAAATGACTGCATTTAAATTCATTAAAAACTAGGATGTTTATATAGCCCTAATCCCCCAGTTATTTCTGAGATATCTATTGACAATTATATGTTATTTCTCAGCCAGCAAATACATCTTATATGGAGTTAATTCTACTTAGAATGAGTAGGCCTTCTGTAAGCTTCATATTGCCATGTGCCTAACATGGATAGACAATGATGAATACAGTAGCTGTACCACATGCTGAGATCTTGCTTTTGGTGGATCCTGTATGAATTCTCTAACCTTGAGAACCCAGAACCCCACTCTTCTCCAGTATACTCCACCAGTCATTCATCTTCACCTGTCCTTGAGAGTCTACAGTACAGTAGCAGCCCAGAGCTAGCTAGCAGCATGCGCAACACTAGCTACCTCACTAGGCACCTGTGGTACCCCAGAAACAATGAGGGATCAGGTTTGACTGATGAGGTTTTTCATTTCCCCCCTCTTCTCCTCCTATCATTTCATATCACCATCTCCGTGACAGTTATTCACCCACATCTGTCCAGATTCAATTTGGTTTCATATTCAAATAACATTTTTTCCCTCAGTGATGACTCATGTAATCTTGTGAATACATTGTGTCAATAGGTCTCGTTGTTTTTCTAGAGATTCTCTCATTTTATTGCTACCTGGTCTGGTCTCAAGCCTTTTTCAACATATACATGTACAGACGTTTTGGGCAAACAGATTATTGTGTGAGTTGTTTACTTGGCCATTGTTTGATTAATTTAATGATGTCTACAAGTAACAAAATAAACAGCCCTGCGTGTTTTTAACCCACTCAAAACCAATGGAAGATGTCTAATATTACGATCAACATTGATTTTCCCGACCTTAACAAACACGCATGCCTGGGGTCGTGGAGCATCATATGGCAGGATATAAATTCCCTGATCTCAATCTGTGTGTACTTAAGTCGACATGCCATCTTCTGAGGATGGCTCCTCTCCCTATCTGTCCTACCTTTGTCCTCTGCACAGAGCCCAGAACGCAGGCCTCTGAGATTACAACTCTATTCTTCCAGATTAATGGAATTCCTGTGTGACACATCTTGAATTGGGAAAGTTTCTGAAACACGGATTTATCAGATAATGGGATCTAGCTTCATTCACAACCATGCAGCCACAGAACTGCAGGCCCTGAGTGAGGATCTGTTTCATTCGTTTGCAGGTTACAGTTTTTCTCAATTGCTAAAACACTAAACCCTATTGTCTGAACCAAATGCTCAGTTGCCTGAACCCACTGATTGAATCAATCACTCTTTTGGCAAAACCATAAGCACTTTTCACCTGTTTAGACATAACTTGCCAACACATTTTCATTGTGATGCACCCGTGCTGCATAATGGTGAGCACAGGTGACAAAAGTCAAACACAATTAGAGCACAGGTGTCACCACTTGAACACAACAACTCAAAATTGATCACACTTGTGGCTAATGATGTGAGGGAACATATACAGTAAGCCAGTTCAGAGAGCACTGGTTTGTGAGGCCCTACAATGGATAGAAATCTGAGAGGAAGAGTTCGTGTGAGAGGAGGTCGAGGTGGTCGAGGTGGTCAGCGAAGACAAAGAACAGTAATATCTGATGAAATCAGAGCTACTGTGATTGACCATGTTCTTGTCCATGGTATGAGCATGAGGGAGGCTGGACAAAGGGTACAACCAAACATCAGTAGATTCACTGTGTCCACCATAATCCGAAGATTTAGAGAAGAGAACAGGTAATTACCTTTTTTTGACATTATAGTACAGTATGTAAATGTTGACAGCAATTACTGTATGACATACTATATACTGTACCACAGTATACTGTAAGTAAATATATGTTTCAGTACATCACTGTACCAATGTACTGTAGTATTGTAATGGAGGGTTGGTCTAACTGTTTGTAGGCCTAGTATTCCATGTATATTTTTTGTAACTCCATGTTCTCTTTTTGTAGAATTGAAAGACTGCCACATGGGGGTGGGAGGACAGGTATGTTCTCCCCACACCAAGGGACCCTAATTGTTGATATGGTCCGTGAGAACAATGCCATTAAACTGAGCGAAATTCAACAGAAGATCATTGAGGACCATTTAAATTTTGAGGGTATCAACAGTGTCAGCCTCTCTACTGTTGATCGTGTCCTCAAGCGCAACAGACTGCGCATGAAACAGCTATACAGAGTGCCCTTTGATCGCAACTCAGACAGAGTCAAAGAGCAAAGATTCCAGTATGTACAGGTTGGCATATATCCAGACTCATTCAATGTTGATTACTCTAAGTAGTGATTTACTGTAGTGGCCTAAATCACTTTTTCCGTATCACTTACAAAACTATATCTATTTCTACAGAGGGTTTTTCAACTGGATGCAATGGAAAGACCCCATCAATACATCTACATGGATGAAGCTGGGTTTAATCTCACCAAAAGGAGAAGGAGAGGCCGTAATGTGATTGGCCATCGGGCCATTGTTGGTGTTCCTGGGCAGCGTGGTGGCAATGTCACATTATGTGCTGCCATCAGCAATCATGGGGTTGTCCACCATCATGCCAACCTGGGGCCCTACAACACTCACCAGCTCCTCATTTTCCTCAATCACATGCGAGATGCTTTGTTAGGGCAGCAGGATGAGCATCCCATCTATGTTGTTGTTTGGGACAATGTGAGTTTTCACAGAGCCCTCCAGGTTAGAGAGTGGTACAATATGAACCAAGGTTTTATCAATCTTTGCCTTCCACCGTACTCCCCTTTCCTAAACCCCATTGAGGAATTATTCTCCTCATGGCGGTGGAAGGTATATGAACGCCAACCTTACACCAGGGTAAATCTCCTGCAAGCCATGGGACTTGCCTGTGGTGACATAGGTGTGGAGGCATGCCAAGCCTGGATACGGCATGCCAGGGTTTTTTTTCCCCCGTTGCCTGGCCAGACAAAATGTGGCCTGTGATGTGGATGAAGTCCTGTGGCCTGACCCAGTACGGAGACATGATGCTGTGGCTGAGTAATGCACTTATTTGTATATTTTTGTACTTTATTTTTACATGGGCTTACTGTACACAAGTGGCAAACGCATAAGATTTCTGTTTGTTTTTACAAGTGCTACATGTAAATGCACAAGATTTCTGTTTTGTCTTTTTTTTTTTTTGCAACATGCATTTAGCCTACAGTGAACAATAAACATTTATTTATCCAGCTTCATGTCCTGAGCATTGTGTTTTCTATTTTTCTACGTAGTGTTTAGTGACTGTTCAGTAGTGTTTTTAATTTTGATTGACTCGGGGCACGATTTGACAACATAGTTCAATTTTGAGCACAGATTGAACTGTTTTGAGGTGAAAGTTTGGTTTTGCAAGAAGAGTCTGAGGTTTTGTGAATGTAGCTTGAAAATTGGGTTTTGTGTTCACAGTTAAGAGAAAAGGAGAGCAGCTTTCAAGAAATGTGTCTTAGCAATCGAGAAAAACTGTAATGCACCAGAACATGTGAGTTGCCCATGCAGAAAGTTGAGGGGATTTCATTGTGACATACTGTAGCTTCCATTTATGAGCGCATTTTATGTGTGTGTGTGTGCATGCACATTTGTTTGTGTGTGTGCGTGAGCGAGTGAGTGAATAAGTGAGTGAGAGAGAGAGAGAGAGAGAGAGAGAGAGAGAGAGAGAGAGAGAGAGAGAGAGAGAGAGAGAGAGAGAGAGAGAGACACACACACATGTTGTAGCACATTAAGACTGCACACTGTACATAGATCTTGGACTATCCAGTCACACAGTTGTCTCCATGGCTGTTTTGGATAGATAATGCATGAATCTGTAGCAAAAATATTCATATTAGGCAA